GCCCTCTCCTCCCTCTGCTTATGCCTGGCTCAGCAGGGAGGCTGGAGAGGAGTATGGAAGCTGCTCTGCCAGCTCTCTGCCATTGGAAAACCTTCAAGCTTTGGGAGATGTTCCTGAGGCCGGCTCTGCAGTTAAGTACAGCACAGTAATAGACAGCAATTGCACCTCACCCAAGAGTTTGGGACTTAAAGCTCAACTCTGTCACAGGAAAATATTAGTGCACACAGCTTTCCTGAGCAGGAGCAGGGACATGTTAATGTGTACAGCACTTCCAGCGTTGTCTTGAATGCCTTCTCCTGTGTTGTACTGAACTTACTGACATTTGAGGGTGTAAAAATACTGATCTGCCTGCACGCTCCAAGCCTAGTTTACATTTGGCAGCTCTAAATGGTAAAGCACTTGCATGTCACCAGCTTTTTATATCTTGGCTTATAAGGCAAAGGGAAGAGGTGACACAGGTAACAGCATATCATTGAAGGGAAGGGAATGTTTCATGGTACAGAGAGTATAGTGCTCATTTGGTGTATAATGTCACAGATTGCTTCATATTTAACTGTATGTAGAGATATTGTCCAGGGAGCATTTTCTGCATGACTCAGAACAACATCAGCTCCAGCAATTGGTTGCATTCAGCATAAATATTTTGAGTTCTTCATTACTATTAACAGAAAATAGTAATTGTTGCATCTTGCACCTTCTCTTTTTTTAAATGAAACTTGGCAGGACCAACCACTCCTTCCTCATGCCAAATTATGCACTGTGGAGCTCAGTCCATGAAATTTTATTGTTGCAGTTGATGTAAATTGCATCTAATGGGCAGATGACTCACGGCTGTGCTGACATCCAGCTTTGCATCCTAAAGGCACATGCCAGCAGGCTGGAAGCATAGGCAGAGTAAACAGGGCTTATCTCTCTTTCCTCTTTCCTGGGATAATTTTCTTCCCAGTGCTGGCCTGCAGAGCACCTGGAATGCCACTCTTTGCTCAGGTCCCTTGTATTGTGGCTGCAGTGGCCTTAACAAAGCATCCTTAGCAAGCACTGTATGTTGGTGCCAAGGATTGAGGGCTATGGGTGAGGGCAGATCTGATCATTAAGCAGAATTTCAAGTACTTATGTAGGCTTTTTATAGTGGGAACAAGCCATCAGGATACAGTTCCTGTAGTTCCCCCCCCGCCCTGCTAAAAAGTAATTTGTGGAGGATGTGGGAACCCAGCACTCAAAACTGGGGACTGTCATCTCATTGTCTTCCTGTGCTCCCAAGCCTCCTGTAGCTGGAAGTGTGGTTGTAATTTTGTTGTCGGGGTCAGATTTGGTTGTACAGCACATGATGCCTGTGGCCCAGCCCCACCCTGAAGGCATTAATGTGATGTAACTGGTACATTAGTGGGAAGCTAAACCAGTTTGGGATGCAGATGAGGAGGGATTTCTGCCCTGCTGCGAAACCTCTCAAGGCTGATGTGGAGAATCCAGCTTTGCACTGGAGCAAGTCCAAACCCCTCTTCCCACTCAGGTTGTGAAGTACAAGGTAAATAAAAACATAATTGTTATTTTGTGGAAGGGCTTCTGAAGGCTTTAGAAGAAGGGAATGTGACAGCTACAGAGCGAGAATGTCTGGAACTACTGTAGCATTTGTTAAGCTACCAACAAGAAAGTTTACATCCTTCTGTAACTTCATTTAAAACTTGGTATAATTACTGTTTATGCTAAAGCCTAAAGCTGCTTCCTGTTTCCAGTGTAGTAATTGTGCCAGAGGCACACCATTTATTCCCAGTGTATCAGCCCAGGATATGGTCATTACCACATTAATAGGAAGTACCTTCAAATTGTTATACTTGGCAATAACTATATCCTGGAGTAACAAACTTCTCGCCATTCAGTGTGTGAGTTTATAAGCATCTCCTGAGGAGAATAAACAGGAAAGCACTTACCCTCTCTTCCCTGCCCCGTTGCTTTAAATGCAATTAATTAATCTTAAAAATGATTTTAGAGGAGAACCTACTTTGAAGACACTGCCAGTGCACCAGTATATGCTAAGGAAAGGGATTTGTGCTCTCCCAGTGTTATGGTGTTATGTATAGGCTGGGGTGAGGAATGGGAAAGCTGGAAGTTGCCTCTATGGTACAGTAACTCCAAAATGGAGTTGGTGTCCCCAAACATCTAGGTGCCCCATCAGTTTTGCTGCTCCAGGGTGGAGTGCACCAGGCTGGAGTGAGTAATGGCCTTTGCAGAGGGCTGGTCACTGTGAGGAAATGCCACATGAAGGGGTGATTTAATTCTGCAGCTTGACTTGGGTATTTGGCAGTGGCAGTTTCAGCCTCTTGGATTTGGAATTGTGGCAATGACTTGTTTTAATTTCTTGAACCAACTTTAAGCATCGTATTTACCAACTTTTGTTTTCAACAAGAAAATATATAAATTTTAATTAATCCAAGCTGAAGTTAAAAAGAAAACAAGCCTCTGCATTGGTGGGGGAGGTTAAGGGACTGGAGTACTTTGACTCTTTTTTCTTATGGAATTCAATCTGAGTGCTTGTTTCACTACTTTTTGCATTCTAAGCCTGTCCAGCTTGCTCTGTTGTGGTGGGATGGTTTGGTGGTATTGAATGTGTCCTGTTTTCTGGCCACTGTTGCTACACCAGTGAAGCCTGATTGATTTTTTTTTTTTTTGCCACATCCTTAGTTTTGCTTAAAAACTTCCCTGGCACTTCCTTCACAGCTGAGTATGGTCTGCTCCGGGGGCTGAGTGAGCCACACATGCTGTTGTGCCAGAGGGGAGGTTTGGAAAGGCCCAGCTTACTGGGGAAATGCTCCAGCATCCTGGGCTGCCCTGGAGTACAGATGGAAGAGGAAATTACTCTTGCTCCAGTAAGAGAAATTATAACTTCAGCAGGCAAGCTCAGTGCCTCCTATTCCTTTCCCTGTAACCTGGAACTGGCAGGCAGCTCTGAAAGGGCCTTGTGCATCCTGGCTCTTGCAGGAGAATCAGATGTGGATAAACATTTCCAGTAGGATTGGAGAGTTTCCTGAGCACCCTGTGTTCCCTCTGAATTAGTGCTGGTGCACAGGGGGATTCCTGGAGATGGCTGTGCCTGTGCCAAGCCCATTTCACAGCGTGTGAGCCAGTTCCTTACCTAGGAAGCAGCAGACTTGGGCACTTCACTCCAGTGTCTCCACATGCTCACGCTGTTGGATCCCAGAGGCATCATCTGCCTAACTATTGGCAGGGAGCTTTTCCATTCCTCCCTGTTACGGACTATGAACACTTTGTGGGAGTGCAGGGGTCAGTCAGGTTTGGATCTCTCACAGCAATTAGCTCTACAGCTCCAGTTGTATTGGATTTTGCCAGAGGATGCTAAGGGGGGGAGCATAGCTACATGCTTAATTGGGTATTTAATCCCCTCAGGGCCTTGGTCTCTTTAAGAGTCTCCATCCAGTGTGGTGCTGATGCTGTCTGATCTCCAATTGCTGCAGCCGTTAATTGCAGGAAGAGAACAAAATAATGCTCCTTGGAGGGAAAGTCAGCTCCTCAATTCTGTCATGTCATATAACTTCAGAGTTTCCATATAGATCTATCCAGCTGCTAGCAGGAGGTGTACATTTGGCAGGACTTGGAATACTTGTTTGAAGGGTCAAGGTGCTGTCAGCTGCAGTTTGGTGTTCATCTTCAGTGGGACTGTCTTATGGTCTGTTTTGTTCCACTGTATGTTGGGGGAAAGCTTTGCCATGCCAGTATCCTAGACTGGGTATTGGGAAGAGTGTGATAAATGCTAATGCTGGAGAGGATGTGTTTAAAATTATCCTGGCCTGGAGCTGGCAGTGGCCCAGCCTCCTCTTGAGAAGAGCAAAGCCAGGAAGGAGCTGATTTCCAGGGCCTGACCGGGCCGCTTTGGCCAGACCATCAAGCCAGTTCTGTTCTCATGATGCACAAGGGAGGAGGGAAAAAATAGCTTTTGACTTTTTTCTCTATGTGAAATGATTTGGAATATTTGTCAAAGGCAGTGGAGGGAAAATTTGCTTATTTTGGTGTTGTTTTCCTCTTTTTGCTCCGGGTCTGTGTGGGTTCCTGGGCAGCGCAGGTTTAGCAGCAGTGCTGGTGAACCCAAATGTCAACTATAAAGGTGCTTCTTTTGGCTTGGTGGGGGGAGCAGCCCATGAAAACAAACTAGAAAACTTCGAAGTGTTTGGAGGGAATGTAGCATTCCCTCAAGGTGGAGAAGTGCTACTGTAAACCTAAAAGCTTAGAGCTTTTTTTGTCTAGGAAGAGGGCAGTACAAAACTTTCATAGCACATGCTGGATGTTGTTGTGTGTTCATTGACTTTGGTAAAAAAAATTCAAGGAGACTTTTTCACTAAAGCTGAGGCTTCACAGGACAGTTGAGTGACCCCACTTTCCCATTCTCACCATCTCTCTTGTACCAGCTCTACTCACCTGACCGTTGGTATTGAGGTTCTGTTCATTAAGCCACAAGCAAAGGTTTTTCTTTTGTCTGTATTTTCACCAGTGTGTGGGGCTAAACTGATTTCCTAAGGCAGCATGTGAACTCCTCCGGGGCAGGAGAGGAGCAAGACATGGGGCTGGGGGGAGAACATGGTGCATTCAGCAGGAGATCAACTCGTGTCTTGAAGTTGCTCCTGCTGAAGGGATGCATGAGGATCAGATCAGTGCTAGGCTCTGTTTTCACATTTCTAGCTAAGTTTTAAAACCTGGGACAAACCACTTTCCTTGCATTTTTAAGGGTTCCTTCTGCTAAGTTGTAATTTTATTTTTTTTTCTGTACATAGTACCTGAAATGCTACTAGCTATAAATCATACAAATACTACTTATTGTCTGTCTATGAAGTTACAATTGATGTTAAGCCCCTACTATTTCTGCATGATTAGAGGCAGGAGGTGCTAACGCAAGAAACAAAATGTAAGAAATAATAACTGTTTTGTGTATTTTTATTGGTTGAAGGAAATATTTAATGGCTTCCACTTATTGTTGCTTTATCTTTCTGCAGGGATGTGAAAGCAGGAAATATTCTTCTTGGAGAAGATGGCTCAGTGCAAATTGCAGGTAACTTTCCTGGTAACTCTGAGTAAACTTTAGGCATAACTGCATATCCAAAGAAATTATTTAATGATCAAGGAGAAATTTACAAGAAATTGTTAGCCTCAAAAAGCCCCACGGTTCTTAAAACAAACAAACAAAACCAACAACACCAAAAACGCCAACAATAAACAAACCACAAACCAAAACAAGAAACTGAACCAGAATTTACTACATCTTGTTATCTTAAAATACTCTTATTTGGAACAATGACAATAAACAGAAATAAATCATTTGACTGTCAAGTGCTCAGAATCAATAGATCAGATAAAATTCTTGGCATAAGCTAGTCAGATTTTTAACTCAGCAGATTTATAGGCTTGGAAGTGGAGTGCACAGACCTCACTGATTTATCATCAGTGTGTAAGGTGGTTTTCCAAAGGACTGTGCCAAAGGTGGATTGATTTATCAGAAGGAAATGGGTATATCTGATAGTAAAGGTCCCTTACAATTTTGTCTTATGGAAAGAGCTGCTGATCAAACTGCTCATGTGGATGTTCCCTGGTCTGCTCCAGTTGAACTGGGTGGCAGAGGAGGTATTTAACTGGCCGCCCTGACCCAGCCCAACCTGGAGGGAGCTGGAAGTCTTGGGAGCAGTCATGCAAGCTTAGGAATAGGGTAGGGAAAACTGTAAAGGTAGTTTCTTTAGCTAATACAGATCTGCCTGGAGTTGTGTGTTGTAGTCAGGGCTGTCATGAGCTGCAGCAACACAGGTGTGTTGGAAACAGTCCTTGGTGTGGGTGGACAGTGTGTCTGTGGAAAAGGGGTGTGCCTCCCCTCCAGTCCCCTCTGATATTTTCTTTCAACTTCACTCTTCTTTCTAGAAACCAGCAATTACACCCCATCCTTGGAAACATTCAAGGCCAGGTTGGATGGGGCTCTGAGCAGCCAGTTCTGGTTGAAAGTGTCCCTGCTCGCTGCAGGGGGTTGGATTAGGTGACATTTAAATGTCCCTTCCAACCTGAACTAGGCCATGATTTTGTGATTATTAGTATTGCAGGCTATTAAGTAAGACAAGATTTTTGGAGAGTACATTTAGAGCCTGTGATATTTGCTTTTCCTCCTCTTCCCAGGGTGCTGTTTTCCTCTACTGAGTACGATTCTTCTCCAGCTGTCCTTTCTCTCAGGACTCCATCCTTTCTGTGGATCTCGCAGTGCTTTTCCAGTCCCTGTGTCACTTCTAGCTGGAGGGCAGAGCTTGTGCCTGGTCCTGCCATCTTGGCAAACATCCTTGTAAATGTTTAGCATTTTCAATCCCATATTTAATTGGGAAGAGACATATCTGTGGGTGATAAGGTCTCTTTAGTTCCCTGTCCTGCTGGTGCAGGCACAGCAGTGAGTCAAGCCAGTGTGCTGGGGGTTAAGGGATAGGGCAGTGACTGTTGTGTCAGGGGGAAGTGCCTACTGCATTTTTTATTCCTTTGGAATATCTATGCCTGGCTTTGCATCTTGGAATGAAAGCTGTGGATTATCCACCAGGAAGCAGAACACGTTGCAATGTGTTTTTTATAGGTAGCTCTCCCCTCTCTGCAGAGGACAATAATCCCTTTTACAGAATATAACACCTATTTCTGTTTAAAACCTGAAGTTGCTTTGTTTTCCTTTTTAAGTCTCCCAGTGCCCTTAATGCCTGCTGTTATATTTCTAATGAGGTGTAAATAATTAATCTGTGTGGCAGCTGATGGAAGGTAGGGAGTGGCTTCTGAAACGCTCAAAGGAGGAAACTTTTTACAATAAAATCCTAGATTTTTTTTCATAATGGGGCCAAGATGTAACTTTTTGGATTTGTGCTTTAGATTCTCTTTTGGGAGAGGCTGCAAATAGCTGTTATTCTGAGTGTTTCTGCCAACCTAGAGAAAGCTGCTTGTGTTTCTCTTCCACAAGGGTGCCAGGGCTTGGCTTTTTTTTATATTAAGTCTCACTGCTAATAGGTACCTGTTTGTGCTTTTTTCTGCTGAATAATTTTTAGTTGATAAGTAACTTTAAGATTGACTGATCTTAACTGTATGAATTCCAGAGGATTTATTTTGTCTGTAATTTGTACCTGCTCCCCTAGACTGAACTACTTGTGGTTTGTATGTGCAATATTTAAATGATGAAATCCACCTCTCAGCCTATCCTGTGAAAGCAGCATTGTGAGATGTGCAAAGTTCCCTCTTTACAAACTCTTCCTTTGAACATGCAGAAGGTCCAGTGAGACTCTGTGACTTTTCATCAGCCACAGCAGGGCCACTAAACTCAACCAAGGTCAGCGAGTTCACCCGGTGGCAGGAAGCACTTTCCTTTCTGTGGAGGCAGCTGATGACTTGAAAGAAACGAAAATAAATTAATGAATAATAGAGAAGAGCCTGACCTGGTCATAACACGAGATTTTGTTTCTGTGGGAATTTCTGACACTTAAGCTTCCTTTCCTCCTGACCCAGGATGAAATAGCAAAATTTCTAGCGAATTCTTTGGGGAGGAAAAAATGCTGGAAGCAAACCAATCCCAATAAAATGAGATTTGTTTCAACGAGATCAAAGCACTTGCCTTTGACAATAATATTAATGCATATTCTGAATAATTCTGTTGATTGAGTGCTTCAGTTCTGAGCTAGATGACATCACTGCGTTCCCATGAAACAAACATGTATAAGTTTCACTGGAAAGTTACACCAGAAGGAAAAACCCAAAAAATGGATCAGCTGTGGAATGAAGCCTGAGGGTCAGAGTGAATGGGGCACCTCCCTGCTAGGAGCTGGTTTGGTGTACATGAAAAATTTAAATAATGTAGCAGGGAAGAATGACTTCCATTCTTTTATAATGACTCCTTTCCCTCTTGCCATTCCTCAAGCCACACTGCCTGTGAACAGTTGTTAAGAAGGTCTTATTCAATGTTTGGCCTTTGCAACCTTGTGTTCCTGTGTGTTTCCTACTGCTTGACACAATTCCTGCTTCTTGTCTCAGAAGAAATGTAATTCTTAAATGTAAATAAGGAGTGTATATCTCAAACTAGAAATCCTTTGAGGAAAAGAAGCAAAGTGCTTTCAAGGTTTGGAAAAAAAATGCTCATCCCTGTAATGGAGGAATCCTCACTGCTGGGCTGTACCTCCACAGTGTATCAGTGAATTTAATTACGGGAAAATTTCACTGTGTAGAATTCATGGCAGTAATTTTGCTGCAGGATTCTACAGTTCTAACTAGTGAAAATTAAAGCCTCCTTTGTTAATTTGGGCCATGCAATTCTGTTAAGGCTGAACAGAAAAAGCAACTTGATGAAAGTGTGTCAGACATTTCTCAGGTTCTGTTTGTAACTCTGAATTGGTGGTTGTGCATCCGGTGTGAAAGCTGCTGTGGGAGCAGGTGAAGGGGTGGAGGAGAAATCTGTGAACTCGGGGGCATTTGCTGGGAGCGGGATTTCTAAAAATTCCTCTAATGGCCTGCACAAATTCCCAGGTTGAAACTCCTCCCCAAGTCTTGGGACTTGGTATTTTTACTCATGGCTCTATTTTTAACTCTGTAGCTCCTTTTGCTTTCAAAATGTGCATCCACTGAACCAAGGAGAAAATTGTCTTTAACAGACCGAGCTGACCAGCGAGAACTAAACTGAGGCAGTTTGCTTCTATCTTAACACTTTATTTTTTTTTTCCAAGGGCACTGGCTTGGGCTGGTGGCTTGGCACGAGGTTTTTGGAGCCTGTCACAATTCAGCGTCGCTTTCTCAGTTTGAAGTGTTTTCCTGCACATTGAATTAATCTGTCTTCTGGAGAGAGCAGGACTCTTTCCCAGATACCGTTGTTCTGGGCTGTGGTTGCAATGTAAATTGAGATAGCCATGTTCTTTTGTGTTCCAGCCTCTCCATGGCAGTTATTTCTTTTAATCGGGGCATAAAGCCTCTTTGCCCTGGCATTTATTGGCTCCCTGGAGTCTAAAAGCTGTGTGGGTAAAAGCACTCTTGTCAACATAAACTGCATCAGCACCAATATTGCTGCATAAACCAGGAGATGACTTCTCACAGTAAGCAAGACTTAGCATTTGTCAGTTTACTTAACTTTGCAGGCCCTATAAATTATTGTGAAATGAAGTGAGCATCTTGATAAATGGGAAAGGGATGGGAGAGGTTGAGGGGAAGCTCTCCCAGGGTGCACAAGACTTGCTCAGTGTGAGCCACACTCCAACCATGGCACGATATCAGCATCCTACTGAGTCGGAATACAGAATAAATCTTTTTTTTCCTTGATTTTGTCCACTGGGGTATTAAATAATGCTGTTGCCCATCCCTCTGTGATTGAATGTGATGATAGAAGAGCCTGCTGAGGGCTGAGAGCGCACATCCCTCCATGGGTGGGATTTTTTGGTTGCAGGGTATCTTCAGGATTTGAAACCAGGGAATTATTAACGCGCAATCCGAGAGGTGCCCGCAGTGCCTGCCATGGCCCGGGACGGCCGCGCTGCCAAGCGGTTGAAGTGGATTGAGATTTCACAAAGTTGTTCAGGACTTGCTAATTGATCCTGGGCAAATTGCCCAACCCCTCTCGCTTTATCTATTTATAAAATGGGGATAGTTAAGGCCAGGCAAAACTTGTGTAACTGAATTTGTGTAACTTTCCACAAATCCATGCCAGCTTGTCACCGGTTCGCTGTGTTCCTGACTGCTCTTAATTCATTGTACTAAAATAGCGCTCTACATAAACATCGAGCTATGGTGCAGGCAGTGTCATTCCCCACTTTCCCTTAGGAAACTCTAACTTTAGGAGATTAAGTGGCTCTAAGAAGGGGCAAGGCACAAATCTGACTTGGGAGGGAAGTGTCGATTGCAGCTGGTGTTGTATCATGGCTCCTGTTGTGTCAGGAGCTGCTTCTCCCTTTCAGAAAAAGGGCCAGAGGTATTTTTCTGTGTCCAGTGGAGAGTTTTAGTGCCTCTCCTGCAGCAGCATGATGTGAAGTAACTTCTTCTCTGTGTCACTTGTACTGTCTGTGTTTCCTGAAGAGATGTTGCGCTGTTTTGTTGTTGAAACCACTTCTCCAAGGGCAGTGGGTGGATTCACCCAGCCTGGGCTTTGTCATCCTGAAGTTACTTTGTGCAGTAGGAGAACAAGTGTGTATTTACAGATCCAATACCACTGTACATCCATATAAACTTGAAAGAAGCTTTTGATTTTTGTTCTCCACTAACCTTCCTTTTCTCTGGTGTCCGATCACCTACTGCTTTCTCAGCACAAAATTGCTGTTTGCCATGGCCTTCCTCCTCTTCCTGCCAGGTTTGTTCATCTTCAGTGCTCTAAAAGCTGTAAGGTTTGCAGGAAAACATTTAACTACAACTGTAGGTATTTTCTGATGGAGAACAACTGAACAAGAAGGAAAGTGACTGGTGACAAAAACACTTAGTGCTGTCTTCTGAAATACTTTTTGTTTAAAAACAACTCCGAGTGGTTTGAAGTCAAGATTGGATTATTCAGTTTTTCAGCCCCTGTTGAAGTTGGGAACTGCTTTAGGGTCTGATCCAAACCCACCAGACTCTGTAGGAACCCTTCTGATATCAGCAAGCTTTTGTCCTGGTTCTTAGTGCACATTCTTCCTGTCTTTTGCTTCTGTGTATACTGTAGGCAGCTACGTGCGGTAGCTTTTTAGGATTAAGGTAATGTTACAGTGTGAGATGGCCAAGGAGAGATGATTTTAAAAGCTGACCTCTAGATTTGGGTAAAACAATGCATTTTATGGTAGAAATGTATATTCCTGTGGTAATACACATTGTGATGTGCCACAACATTCTTGCATTGGTGAGTTGTTCAGATGGAGTGTTTCCTTTCAGCTTTTATATTTCTTGAGTGGCCAGGATAGTTTTCAAGTTTGATAACTTGGATACCTTAATAGCAGGAATTTTTGCCTAGTGCCATGCTTTTCAAACACTGGTCCGCAACTTTGTTGCCACTGCAGGGTGTCCTGTAGGGTATGTGGTTTGAAACATGTGATATTTCTACTGGAAAAGACAACATTTGCCATATTTTTTGCAAAGTCTGCATCAACAGAATTGACATTCCCATCCTGGACTGATTTTACTGTGATAAGAGAGTCTGGAGATATATATCTATAGATATAGATATATATGTTTTTCTCTTTTTTTAAGAAGTCTTTGGTTTATATCACTGACACAGCTCCAGCAGATGAATATTTTCTACACTGCTTCAGAAAAACGATTGAAAAAAAAAATCCTACCGCTTTCGTCCAGACATCCTGGAGACTGCTATTTGCCAACAGACTGCTGGAAGTCTGCAGTATTTGGGCTCCTTTAGAATATCTGACAGTCGGTAGATCCCCAGCAGTGGTGGTTACTGGTATTGCAAGCCAGGTCCAAGCGTTTCCAATTCCTCCCTGTTCTGGTGATTCAGTCCTTTCCAGTTGTCACCATAGTGAGCCAATATAAACTATGAGCTGCCAAGGAAGAGTACAAATGTAAACACTTCTGAGCTGTCTTGAATTTCATGGCTTTTCCCATTTTCTAGAGTTAAATTCACTTGAAGTAACCTGTTTCTGTTGGAGAACGGAGACTCAGAATTGTACCAACTGCTCAGAAGTAAGAACTGAACCTCAACTTGTGGTTAGGATTGTATTTTATTGCTTTGTAGATATTTCTTGAGAGCAGGCACATTCTTAGTAGCTGGGGCTTGGATAAAGTTAGTAAGGTGACATTTGAGAAGATGGTCTTAAAGTCATTCCTTACAGCAGAGTAGTACAGGCTGGTTGAGCCTGTTTTAGCCCACTGGAAATGAGGGAAATTGATTGGGAAAACATTGAATAAATCAACCATGTAATGAAATAAACTTTAATTCCATTTAAGCTTTTTGCTGACCTCAGATGGCAGATGTAGGGGCCCAGTTTCCATCTGGAATTTATAAACCCATGTTTGATGTGAGATGTGGTGAATAATGTTTAAAGGACTTGTGTTGTTAGTGCTGGAATGCTTTTGCTTTGAATAGCATTTCCTTTCCCCTCAAAATGACTGCATGGAAACTTGAGGTAAGATAATACATGCAAGTTCAAATACAGCACATCACAATAAAATACTGATGGCACTTGGACAAGTTTCTGTTGGTATTATCTTATTTAAAAGAACTTCTAATTGCTCTTGTGTTTAGAACAATAGATCTTGCAAGACTTCCTGTAATGAGCAGTAAGAGGCAAATAACTTTGAATCTTTTAGGAAGCTCCTTCAGTTTCTGAGAAAAGCAAGGATGGTTGATACTCACATGGCAGATCTCAAAGCAAAATCAGTGTTGCAAAAAGCATGTTTCCAGAAAAATAAGGGTTGTAGTGCTGATGGGACAGGGATCCATCTAACAGTTCTAAAACTTCAAGGTTAGAAGGAAGCCAAGATGCCTTTGGGAACAGGGAAGAGAACTGGACAGCACATCTCTAAAGCTGAATCCTAATGATATGATGGACCTTGGCTAGTGCTGGTTTTAGCCCTGTGATTGCTGTGAAACTTCCTGCAATGTCACCTTGCAGTTATCCATGTGTAGTGACTTCAGTGAGCACTAAGTCCATGTCCTTGGAAGTCTCTAACCAAAGTGAGCTGGAAGCTTTCTGAGTAATGACTTCAGTGGTGTTTCTCAAATATTGAAAGTCTAATTAGAAGGGTCTGGTTGCACTACTGGTGTGATGCAGAGGGAAGCCTGAGACTGTCCTCACAGGGACACCATTCCTTGCAAATTGTGAAGGGGGATCTTTTGTTGCAGTTGTTGCCTCAGTATAACATCCTTAAGACATGGAGTAACTCTGGCTCCTCTGGCCACAGAGGGAAAGGCTTTTGCATTTGCAGTTAACTGTCACCAGAGTTTCAAGAATTTTCAAACCAGTTGTGGTCAATAATGTTCTGGTTTTATGTGAAATAGCCCTGGAATTTCAGAGACTTGCACTCCAAGCCTGTCATCAGTCTTAAAATTGGCATTCAAGATTCTGATTGCTTGTAGTGTGTTTAAAAAAAAAAGTTGAGTTATGGAGAGTGGCCCATTGCAGGCCTATAATTCAGTAATACATAAGCAGTGTAGTTTGGAAAAAATTGGGAAGAAATACTCACACAGTTCTGTGTTTACAGTTTCCCCATCACATGATTTTTTTTTTTTCTCAAGTGCCATCCTCTTCTGAATGACTTGATTGCCAAATCTTTTGTAATGGTCTTCTCTCAACAAACATACTGTATCCCATAGCTATCCCTGCATACTGCTACTGCTGGTAACAGATCCTGTCTTCCATTTAATTCTTAATTGCATAAGACATCAGGGTTACCTTTGACAGCATAGTTTTCACATAAGAGTGATTTACCTTAAGAAATACAATTACCAGTGAGTGGAAAGGGCATCCTTGAGCATCCTTCAGCTTGTGAAAGATGTTCCAGGTGAGGGTGATGCTGTGCAGGGTGTGAATACCTGTCTGTGAGGCTTCCCTGAGCTGGTTGGGGGGCACGTGAATTAATGCTGCTGTGTCACCAGGAACTAGTTCAAGCTCCTGTTAAAGGAGCATTTGGGCCATGGGAGGTTATCAAGGAAAACATGTTCTGGTAATAAATCATCAAAAATAAGGAGCTGATACCTCATCTGCAGGGTGCAGTTAGGACAGTTACATGTTATCAAGTAATTTTTTTATGCACCCACCTTCCTTGCTGGGAATGTTACCAGGATGCTCATGGAGGGTCAGTTCTCATTACGAATGTATGCAAATTAAATAAACTGTGGCTGGCAGGGGCAGGTCTGTACAGCAGCAGGTCTGCTGGGGGAGCACAGGCAGGCTCTAATGTGGCCAGTGGGCTGTAAGGGAAAGTGGAATTTTCCTCTCTGCCAGCCAGGGCTGAAAGCTCTGCTGTCCCCAGGAACTGAATGGCGAGCTGCTGAATGGCAGTTCGTGTACCAGCACTCTTTGCTAACTGTTGATCATTCTTCCTTTATTAGGAAACTCCTCATGCGTGACTGCATGGTCTGGTACTTAATAGGTGGCTGGGAATATGAGGGGAAAGAGGGGGCAGCCCTTCAGTTTGCTTGGGATGTGTTCTTAATAAATTCTTATTAAATTCTGCTTTTGTTTTCTTTTCAGACTTTGGCGTTAGCGCGTTTCTGGCCACTGGTGGTGACATTACCAGGAATAAAGTCAGGAAAACTTTTGTGGGCACACCTTGCTGGATGGCACCAGAAGTTATGGAGCAGGTGAATTGTTTTTCCTACTGTCCTCTGAGCTGATCTGCACCTGGAATCCCCTGTTATCAGCAATGGCTATATTTGCTTCAAACTAAGATGATAATTTGGCATCCTGTAAGGTTTTCCTAAAACCACAGAATTTTCTTCAGTTTGCCTGTTGCAGACAGGCTTGTACTGTGAAATACTAAGTGTTCAGTAGATTTTTGCCCAATTGCTTCTCTTCAGGCTCCTGCTTAAGGTGAGATTGAGACAGCTCAGCTGTTGCATAAAGAAGATTAACCTGCCCCTCCCTCTTGCATAAATATGAGGTAGAATATAAATAGTTTCACGTGTGGTAAATATGCACATTCACAGCTCAGTAACATGCTCTTCTGCATTTGCAAACATCAGTTTAGGGTAGTTAATTGGGACGTGTCAAAGTGGGGAGTTATTACAGGAAAATAACATGCAGTTGACTTTATTCAGGTATTTAGCTTCTCTTGGCTCGTGAGTATCCAGGCTGTAAAAGCTGAGGAATGCTTGCATTTCCCCCTTCCTTCGCTGCTCTTTTGGCTCTCTAAAAGATGTCGTAGTTCTTCCCCTTGGGTGGAGATATGTCACCTGTTGTCCTCCACTGCTTCTAGACTAAACTTCAGAAGCGTTGTCTGTGTGACTTCTGATGAAGGCTACCTGGAAGCTCTGTTTACTGTAAAATATCATTGCCCATTTCTGAGCAAGATCCACAAACAAAATTACCTCTCAGTCCTGACAGGGCATTTGCAGTAGCTGTTGATGGCATTGACATTCAGTGCCGTGGGCATTCTGAAAACTATCCTGTATTCCCTTAAAATCAGTTCGACAGAGGGCTGGACTCAGGGTTTTTGACAGGTGTCCTAAGCTGAATTATAACAGGCTATAAATGTTTTTCCATTTTTCCTTCCACATTTTTTTAAACAAAAATATTTTGGGAAAACAGTGTTTTATTAAAGTAATCCCGCCTTGTTACTTTTCTCCTTGCTGTTGTTCGCAATAAAATATCTTGAAGCTTAAGAGGAACTTGAACAAGATCCCCATGTATATCTGTAAAATGAAGTGGAGGTAAAACTGTGGTAGCACTTTAATGCATCCTTTCCTATATCTAAAACTTCTTGAGGAATGGAGGTAACTTTGGAGTAGCTTAAATGTATTATTGATTAAAGGCTTTTTCAGTGTTTGGCCTTTCCAGTGGCTCCCCACGGTGGCACTGAGGGGCTGGTGCGTTACAGCACTGCTGCAACATCCTCAGAGTGTAAGTCTAACACTACAGAAGAAAGACACACTTCCTGAGTCAGGATCTCTTTGTAAATTGGATTCTGAACTGCTCCACTGTCATATTCTTCTGGATTTTTTAATTTAATGTTGATTTAAGAATAAATAAAAATAGAGTATTTGGCGTTTCCAAAGCCAGATCAGAGTTGTCCCTTGATATTCTGTCAGTTGTGTCCTGTGGTGCTGCAGCACTACTGGTGCTGCTCCAGCCTCTTTGCAGCTGCAATCCTCAGGACAAAATGGAAAAAAAATCCCAAGGAGCGAGCTATAAAGGGGAAATAAAGGTTTCAGTGACAAAGTGAGGGGTGGTCCCCCACAGATATGTTTCCAGAGGAGACAGGTTGTCTAGGGAGTGCAATACCTCCATCGAGGCTGTGCACATCTAACTGGATGCAAATATCAGATGTTAAAGCAGTATTTTGGATGCTGATGTGAAATCCTTCAGTGACCATTAGATCATCTTGCTGCCTTCCAGCAGGTGTCACCCTGAGCCACTAGATCCAACAGGGAAAAGGGACAAAGGGGTTGCTGTAGGTTGGCCTTAGATACGTAGATATTATCAACCCAATTGCACCTGGTTTGCTTCAGCATCATTAATTTCCTTTACCATGTTAATATGTGATGACCCGGTGTTGTCTTTTAATGTATGTTCACTTCACAGATTTATGGCAAAAAAAAAAATTGATGAGAAAAATAGATGTTGATATAAACTAACTGCAGGGTGGTGAGTCATGTATTGGACTGATGTCAAGATGAACTGCTGTAGACAGTTTTTAACTTAATAGTTTTCACTTGCAAGCAGGATTATGTGAAATAATTCAAAACCCCCCACACAGTTAATATCCCGTTGGGGAATGGGGTTTTGTACAGTGTATTGATGTGCTGCAAGATTAACTGAAAAACAGAGCTAAGAAATGTCCCAAAGTTATTCTTAAAACCTAAAAATAATGTGAGGGGGGGAAAAAACCCACATACAGCATATTTCTTCTTGCCCTGTGCTCTTTTAAATTATACTACATATTTGTGCTTGTTTAGTTAACTGGCTTGAAACCTGTTCAAAATCACAGCACTCATAAACTGAGGCACTGCAAGAAACATTTCAGACATTTAAGCCTCGTGAAAATGATGCTTACAGTGTTGGAGGCATTACTGCAAGATATAAATTTGTGTTGCTATAGTAAGTTTCAGTTCAGCTACAGTATTACATGACAAATAGTGCAGGAGGGTTTTTTGTTTGTTTGCCAAAATTAAAGATTATCCTAAAGGTAGTTTGGGGAATGTTGTTTGGTTTCCTCACAATGAGTGTCTTTCTTAAGCTTGTTAGGTTAGCTGAGCACAATGTCCCTGTTAGCTTTGCTCTGATTCAGTTCTCCTTTTTCCATAGTCTAATGAGAAGGAATACAAGCCATCCTGAGCAACCAAAACGCTTTGATTTTCGTGGCTGCTCTTGAAGTTAGTACATAGTGTCTCTCCCCTGCAGCGGAGAAAGCAAGTGCCAAAATATTACCTAATAATAATGAGGAAGTAACTGCTTTGGCATATGAAATATTTTTTCCTGTGCAGGAGGGGAAGTAAATGCTATAAATTTTCCTGAACAAGCCTGTGTTTAATGTCAAGTGCAGAAGCTACTGTTAATTAGTGGAGGGAAATATTAGTCTGCAGGCAGGAGCAGGGGGCTTTTACTGAGCTGGTGTGTCCTGAAGTTCCAGGATGGAGCATGTTTGCAGTCACATTGATTAAGCGGTTGACTAAAAGTGTAGTGAGCCGTGTGTCCCGAGGGGTAACAGCCCATCTATTAACTATGGGAGTTTCATTATGCTGTTTAATGACTCTCTGTGTCTTTGTGTAGAAGTCAGAGCCTGGTTTAACCCAGTGCCCCTTTATGTTCTGCACATGTAGAGGTTTACAGCAGAGCTGTCTTAGTTGTACAGTCCACAACCACGATTTTCCTCAGACTGTCACTTCTAAAACAGCTCCTCGAGGTACAAGAAGCTGGAAGAGAGGAGGGAGAAAGCCTTCCTTCCATCTCTGTAGTGCTGGTCTCTCCAAATTTGAGGGGAATGGAAGGAAAGGGTGAAAGGGATTGTAGTGTAGGACAATAAGAGGCACAGACTAACATCCTCTTCGTATTTTTCAGGTCAGAGGATACGATTTCAAGGCAGACATCTGGAGCTTTGGGATCACTGCTATCGAGCTGGCTACAGGGGCAGCTCCTTACCATAAATACCCCCCGATGAAGGTGAGCAGGTCTCCAAATACTTGAGCAAGATAAATCATCAGTGTGTTCTGTGGGTGTTTCCAAGAATTTGGCCGGCATGTTGTATAGAAGAGTTTGTCCTCTCAACTTGCACCTGTGGATCATGATGTTCTTGGATTTATCTGAAGTCACCTTTTAAAAATACACCACTTAATCAGCATTGCCTGAAACTGCACAGCTTTTACTTAGATCCTGAGTCTCACCATTATTGAGGAAAACGCTGCGTGTTTTAATCCTGGAACCTCTGAAGGCAGCAGATGTTTTTAGGGCTATAAATAATGATCCAGAATGTGTTATCTGGCATCCAGTGACACTAGGATGGCGAGCCATTCTTTTTCCTGCACTGATAATCCTTCTTGACACCTCTCAGAAATTCTCATGATGCCTCTCATGTTCCCAGTTATCCAAAAGAATTTCTAGTTTTGTTTAACGCCAACACAGTCTTGTCGTGCAGTGCAAAGTACCACATCAGTGTGAAATGGTGTGGTATTGGCAACACTGGTGTTTTATTAAGGTTGAAGTGAAGGAAATGCTTTTTGCTGTCACTTCAAAAATCTTTGTCAAATATCTTGAACTTCAGAGTGCCTTATAATTTGGCTAACTTTCCCTATTTTCTGACTCTGGAACAAGGAGTTACTTCCAACATGCTGCTCTTTCAGGGGGAGGATACCTCTTAAAGTTAAGAACTGACACTCACCAGTTGAATTCTGAAGCATCCTGTCTGTCTACAGAGCTTTGAGATCTTTTTTCTTACCTCCTTTGTGATATCTGATGAGGCCTTGTCTCAATCACAGAACTTTAAGCCCCTTTGGCCCACCCTCTTTGCTTCTCTTATTGGGAGGAATGCTCCCTTGGATCAAACACGAGGGGGTGGAGACCCCTTTTGATACCCCCACAGCTTATGATTAGAGTAATTACCTGGGATATGAAGCTTATGGGTGCCAAGTCCCTCTGTTTTTGGCACTGGGAGAGGGACTTTTACATGGACAGATAGTGATAGGACAAGGGGGAACAGCTTTAAACTAAAAGAGGAAAGATTTAGATTAGATGTGAAGAAGAAATTCTTCCCTGTGAGGGCGATGAGGCACTGGAACAGGTTGTCCAGAGGAATTATGGATGCCACGTCCTTGGAAGTGTTCAAGGCCAGGTTGGATGAAGCTTGAAGCAACCTGGGCTAGTGGAAGGTGTCCCTGCCCACGACAGGGGGATTGGAATTAAGTCCCTTCCAACACAAATCATTCAGTGATACCATGGGACAAACTTCCCTCTTCTGAGTCCTGCCTGCTGGAGTGCTGTATGAGTTGTGGGTCACCTCTTCAGGACCTGGGTGAATCCCCTCCCACCCCACAATTACAATAGCATTTGGAAATCCAGTAACTCCCAACTCAGAACAGGCACATCCATGTATCCCTTTAAATACCAGGACTTTGCACAGGTTTAACTCTTATAGAATTAATTTTAAGACTTGTCATGTCTGTGTAGGGACTGTTGAGTAGCTGAGTGGTTCAGAAATGCCATCAAAGTTCCTACAGACTGTGGCAGAGCAGGGAGGAGTTGAGGAAAATGTGTTGCTGGTTTAGCTGTTACTGCTTTCATTGATATTTCCTTCTGTGCATTTGGTAGCATTTTTCAGCAGCTTCTGCAAGTTGTACTTCTGTTTATTGTGGTTTGAATGCCTGGGATGAAGCTTTGAATACCAACATCACCTATTTAGTATCATGTGCTGTATATGGTAGATAGAATTGAGTCCCTAATTCTGTTAGGTTTGGGTTCCACTTGTGTAGCCTTCAAAGAAGAGTTCTCTCTTTTACTTATTGAATGCAATCGTACTGCACTGCAGATTAATTTTGTTATGTAGCAAAATTACCCATGCATTAAGTGACCCTCCAAGGAGTGCTGAAAAAAGCAGGGAATTCTGTCATGGACTGTATAATTCCAGCTAGATTGATGGGCTTTTGCTGCCCTAAGCAATATAGCTGTTGAAAGCTATTTAAATATGCTACGTGCTGCTTCCTTTTCTAAAAATAGATATTCATCTGTATGTAGGTGACAAGTTGTAGTGGAAATGGAAATGAGTAATTTTCTTCCTTTCCTTCAGAATATCTAAGTGATGTGAAGGAAATAATCAGCTTGGCTTGATGGGTGCTTATGTGAGAAATGTCTTCACCTGCTGTTGCACTGGTACATGGAAGTAAACCTTTGTATTTTTTTAGGTTGCCTTTCTGCCTTTACATTAATTTGATTTCTAGCTAGGAAATACCTGCAGGGAGGTATACTGATTCAAATGCCTTGCACAACTGCTCATCTCAAAGGAGGAAAGCTGGTAGATGTTCTGCTCTGCTTGCACCTTTAATCACACTAAACAGGCCTGAAATCACATCCCAACCTTGTGTTTGGCCCACAGGCTCCCCTGTGGGCCAGGAGATGGGATGGGAAAGAGTAACTTAAATTGCTAACACATCCTGGTGGACTCAGATGCTTGATGAAAATGCTTATCTAAAAGTACATTTTTCCCAAGATGTGTCTCTAACAAAGTCCAAGAAAAATCTCATTGCCAATAGACATAATTCTTTCAGGTTTTAATGCTGACACTACAAAATGATCCCCCATCTTTGGAAACTGGTGTGCAAGATAAGGAGATGCTGAAGAAGTATGGGAAATCATTTAGGAAGATGATTTCATCGTGCCTACAAAAAGACCCTGAAAAAAGGTAAGAACAGGTGACACCAAAATAAATTTTAAAAAAACCCCAACAAACTCACAAACCTCATTGTATTCCCTGTTTTTTTGAAGTTGATGCACTCTCTGCCCCTCCAGCCTTTCAGTCACAATGAACACAGCAGTCTTGCTGTGTGGCAACAAATTCTCTTGGCTGTCCTTATTTTTGTGGATAAATGTCTGGCATGGTGCCTGGCCAGGGCACACATCCCCCATTTGGGTTAATGAGAGTGCATCCCAGTCCACTGTGTGGGCAGGGCTGTTCTCCCCTTGCCACCTCCAGCAGGTGACTGCAGTTCATGTTTTGTTCCCAGTCAAAACTGCTCTGTATTTATAAACTAGAAATTGCAGGTTGGGCAATGTGTGTTTTCTTACAAAACTGCGTAAATAAACTTTTTTAAAATTTGCCAGTGCAAAGAAGGCTTTCAGTGTAGTTTTGGCTTGTTTAATTACAAGTAATATTTGGTTTGGAGGAGAAATTAGGAAAAACACTGGCAAATTTTACCAGCATGTTTTCATCAATGCAGATTGCTTAAGTGACCTGATGACACTTTCAGCCTTCCTTGAACAATATCTTGACTACTCAGCATTGTAGGAAATAGCACTGAGGGGGTGTTTGTTGTGTCATTTTTAATACCTCTTAGGGTTTCTTTTTACCCCCTCCTTTTCCTCCTCAGTAAGCAAACTTAATTCTGGAAAGGAAAAAGCGCTTTCATAAAATAATAATAATGAAGACATTTTTCAGTTCCCTCTTGTGTCAGATCCAGGAGCACAGGCTTCTCACACATCATGTGATGCACTTCAAATGCTTAATGAATCCAGTGGAGTGCTTGATAAATGCTGATAGCTGGGGCTTTTTCACAGCATGATATTTTTTCACCTTTCTAAAGCATATCCTATCCCTGCAGGTTAGGATGTGTGCTGATCAGATTATACATAATCACTCTGGATCGTGGCACACCCCTTCTCTCTCCCCAAGCACCACTAACAGCCACTGGCATCATCCCGACTCTGGGAGCAGGAGGCATATTCCATGAGTTCTCAAAGAGGAGAATTTAGTGCAGTTGCTTTTTAATAATTTTAGGGACTCCCTTGCTATAAGGTGAATGTTTTTTGTTAGAGTAGTCTGAGATGAAATAAACCCTGAGATGAATGGCCTTTACAAGTTACTCATTAAACTCTGTTACTGTTTAAGCACCGTTTGCAGTGTGGGAAATGCTCTAAGCTGCTGCTTTCTCATTTGGGCTTGAGTCTTTAGAAAACTCCTAAACTGACCAAGGGGTGTCTCTTACTTCCCAGTATTTATTCCAAAGTTTGACTTAAAGGAGAAAATAGTTTGTAATTGTGCCTATTCCAATAGACAAAGATTGATCATCCCGCCTGTGTTTAATAGAACTAATTACACACATTTAATCAAGTATCTCTGAAATAGCTGTTACTTGCACACAGTGAGTGCTGCACTCCTGTGGTAGGTGATGATTCTGTGATTTCAATTTTGAGCAAATTGTTTCTGTGATCCTGTTCTTAACTAAGAGTCTCAAGCTCAGCATCAAAAAGGGGGCAACTTCTCCCCCCCCAGTCCCAAGTAACTAATTGCTTTGGAACAAAATAGGCTTTGGTCAGAATACACTGAGTGTTTAAAAGACTGCTGGTGTTATAAAATTCACTTGGAATGCATTGACTAATTTTTAGGGAATTGTGCAGGAGAAGCTGATGCCCTTAAGAGATGCCATGTTACAAGAAGCTACAGCAACCTGGAAGACCGTTGTGTTGAAAGGGAGCACTTATAATTGTCTTTTCTGCATCTGTTTTTATTGACAGACCCACAGCAGCAGAACTCTTAAGACACAAATTTTTCACGAAAGCAAAGGTAAGGACACACTTCCTAAACTGATCTGTGGAGAGGACTTTTCAGAAGCATGATAGGTGTGGTGACAGCTTTACTGGCAAGAGTGTGGGCTGTTTCACTCAGGGCCAGCATAGCTGAGTGAGTTGAATGGGTCATTGTGAAGGAACAGAATGAAACCCCCCTTCTGTACCTCCTGTGTGTGCTGTCATTAGAGAAATTATCTAGAAATTCTTCAGCATTTAAATGTCTTTCAGTGTGCCTTTTGGTTTTGTTCTTCTCTTGTAATGGTTCCATCCTGGCTGCCTGTCCAACCATAAAGGTCTCTGTGGCAGCGAGTGTAACTTATATTTTAATAAACTCTATAATTAGTCTGTATGCAAAGGGTGAATGAGGCCCACTGTGCCAGGGCTACCTAAATCTATTTCACCCTGTGTTGCCATATGGAAAGCGAGGATCCTGTGATACAAAACAGTAGGAAACTCCCATTTCTAGCCTTGAAGTGAACTGCCAGCAAGCATTATGTAATTACTGCCTGGAGATTACTGCATATGCAATGTGCAGGGTCTTATTGAGGGAGACAGGAATAATACAAGGGAGAATTTGTATTTTCATGGGCCTGAGGAAATATTTTCTGTTTCCTTATTTTTATTGTGGCATGTTTGTGATCAAAATGCACAGGGTTTGTAGCAGAATACAGATTAAACTGTCAGAAAGAGATTCGATGCTTGGGATAGCACGGCTGCATCACCAATTAATCAAAGTAGTTTTCAACTCCCAGATTAAGATGCTTAAATGGAAGTGGCCAATCCAGATATCTGTTCAGGAGCTGGATGTTCTATGACAGAAATCCAACAGGTGCAACCAAGGGAAGGTTGCACTTCCTCCTATGAGAGGAAGTGGAGAGGTGGACACCGATCTCTTTAGTGACCAGTGGCAGGACCGGAGGGAAAAGCATGGAGCTGCATCAGGGGAGGTTTAGGTTGGATATTAGGGAAAAGGCTCTTCACCCAGAGAGTGGCTGAACATTGGAACAGGCTCCCTGTGCCAGTGGTCATGGCATCAAGCCTGGCAGAGGGCAAGAAGTGTTTGGACAACACTCTCAGGCACGTGGAAGGATTCTTGGGGCTGTCCTATGCAGGGCCAGGAGCTGATGATCCCTGCCTCTCCCTTCAATCTCAGGGTATTCTGTGATTTGATAATTCTGTGAACTAAGGAAGTCTAGAGATTGATCCAGTTTATGAAATGTAGCAGTTTGCTTTAGGGCATGTTTAATTGATGTCTGGGCTCTTGACAATATTAACTGGGTTTTCACTGTCTGTGGTGGGATTTTAGGCATGTGTATGCTGGATGCACACTTGGTGTATGAAGTGACAAGATGGCTTACACATTGCTGACCTTTCTCTGTTTTGTTATGCGAGTTCTGGATCACTTTACACTTCATTGTGTGTTAAATCTCCTTTGTGCTTTCATTAAGCTGCCGTAGAGTAACATATTAGCATGTGTGGTGATAGAAAATTAACATTATTGCAAATGAGGCAATACTTAACCCGGCATCTGAAGTGAAAACGTGTTCCAGTTCACACTTAGGGTTCAATTACTGTCATACATCAGCCACTGCCAAGCTGACAGCTGGAACTTGAGGGCTGAAGAATCCAACTTCTACACATCTATATTGAGTCATATATTTAAATGCAGTTTATGTTATGTGAAAGTATGGTTTGATAATGCTGAGAGCCACTTATCAGGAATGACAGCATGTGTCTTGAGACTCCCCATCCTGCCTGCAAGCAACCATTGCAGGGGAGTTCTGGGAGCACTGCATGGTCAGAGACAACAGGGCTTTCCATCCTCACTCGTGTGCTGTGGAATACCCAGCTAAATCCCAGTGCCAATGCCACGGTGCCTACCTGGCTTCTCCTACCTCCTCTCCAGCCTGAAGTTTGGCCCTGCAGTCCAGCAGTCAGAAAATTATACTACCAGGAGCCCACATTCCAGTCTGGAGCATCTTGCTGAAGAGGAAATTTAATACAATAAAGCATCACATCAGTTTCCCAATGTTTAATCTGTCATGATCGCTGCATTGACTTCCTCTCTAAACATAAATGCTGTATGTTTTTTCATCCACTTCAATATTGCTACCCTAATTCCTCGATCTTATTACTCCAACATAAAGGGATTCCTGCATCCCAGCCTGCCTGACATCTGAGGTTTGCCTTTGACAGTTGGACAGGCATAAATTTAGGAGTAAGATAAAGCAAAGGGGTTGGATCCAGGTGGTGTAGTATCTGCTGGTGGAAGAATGCCAAATGCCTCAGCAGGGTGTCAGATGCTGCAGTATAATAAGTGTGTTTCCCAGTAAATCATAATAATATCCAACTCCTCAGTTGTTAATTCCATATCACTTTGCAAAGGGAAAGTGTCAAGTGCTACCTGAAAAGGTATTTAGGATGAAAGTTCATATATGGTAGTTGAGAGTAAGGAAGTGGTTAGTATGGGGGTGAGACACGTGAACCACTTTCTGCTAGAAATAGCTTAGCAGTTACTTTATCAGAGACACTGAAGGAATCAAAGGGCATTTTCAGCAAAGCAAATGTTTGGTATTTTTTTCTTTTGCAGAATAAAGAATTTTTGCAAGAGAAGATGTTGCAGAGAGCACCAACAATCACTGAAAGATCCAAAAAGGTATTGAAAACCTCCCGGGCTCTTGCTGTTGCTGTTGTACTAGTATTTTAGGTTTGCGTTCACATTTTTAATGATAATTAGTGTAGTACAGCATTTTCTAGATACAAAACTAGACATTTCAATAAAATACTCAGGTGCCCTGGCAGGTGATGCAACCTGAAGATGCTCTGGTGCTGTACCTCCTAAAAAAAGACCAACTGTAGAAACTGTTTGCTTGATACAAGCTCTCTGTCTTTGTTCTGAGCAGGTCCGGAGGGTCCCAGGCTCCAGTGGGCGTCTTCATAAGACTGAAGATGGTGGCTGGGAATGGAGTGATGATGAACTAGATGAAGAAAGTGAGGAAGGCAGAGCAGCAATTTCACAGCTCAGGGTGAGTCCTCAAACTTCACTGTCTCTGTTTTGTTTTCCACTTGTAGTACGTCTAAATGTATTTGGGAAGCACGTGGTCTGAAGTGTGATACACAGCAAATTACAATCCCTGCCGTGGAGTTTGGAGCTGAAGCAGAGAAAGAAGACTGAAGGTTGAAGAAATTGTATTGATCTTTTCTGTCATCGTTGTGGGGCACAGCTGGTCTCATCCAGGGATGTTCAGTGTAATTGGAAATGTGCATTCTCACATTGCTCTGCTCCCAGCTCAGCATACTAATTCACTGGAGCCAACACATTCCCTTTAAGGGTGCTGACTATTTGAGATGCTTTCTTCTGGAAATATCAGGAGAGGTTTTGTCCTGCTGCCCTCTCCAGGATGGAGCTAAAATCAATAGGGCCTGTGCTTATGGCACACAAGGTTTCATCTCCTCAGTTACACCGAGATCAATTAGTCCTGGTTGAAAACCTTACAGCATCCCTGAAGTCACAGGAGTGATTGGTCCAGCACTTGAAAATACTCAAAAAATCACCACTTTCCCCTCTCCCAACACATGCACAAAGCCCCTCAAACCCAGACTAATCCCCAGGAGCACAGAGGAGTAATGCATAATGATCAGCTAAAAGATTGCAGTGAATTTTCAGGCTGTCTTCCCCCAGCAGTCAGCAGTGTGGGTTTTGCTTGTGATGGTTTGCCTGGTCCCTTTTCACTACAGCAGGTGGCGTGAAGTAAACCTTGGGTTTTAATCATCCTGTAATTGAATTAGTGAGACAGTGAAGGATTTTTAGAGGAAGCTTTTCACTGTAAAAGAGAAAAAAACCCTCAGTATTTGTTTGAAGCATTTATTCCTTTACAAATTTTTTAATTTCTCTTTCGTTAGTCTTCCTTCTGCTACTGTTTTGAATAGGCATTTAATTATTAAATGCAGGATTTTGCATCTTTTTAGCATCTTTTGAAATGCTTGGGTTTTTAAAAGCCACTACTAATATAATAATTCCATTCTTTGTGAGAACAATTATCGTGACTTTTTAAAGAGCTTACTGTGTCCAGCTTCATATTACACAGTCAAGGAAGATCTTGGTACCAGGTGGCTACTGCTTTGGTGCTTTATAAGCTGAATTCTTCTAAATTCCTTTTGTAGGTTTAAATATGATCAAATTTTAGGAGGCAATGTTGTAAGAGACCCTAATTCTCTTTCAGAGATTACTTAGAACTTGTTGTATCTTGTCTCTAAGCTCAGGGTACTATGACTTAACCCTGTTTACTGTGTTTTGAACAGTACTTGTTTCATTCCTCTTAGGCAGAAAGAAGCAGATTGACACACATGTTTACAAGCTCCTTTACAAACCAGTTTTTTTCTTGATGCTTTGGCATATTTCCTTGTGCTGCTGTCTGTTCTGGTTGCTCTAATTTGGGCTGTGCTTGGCCTTTTTACTTGTAGGTCTCCTGTTCAGCAATCCTTTAGGGGGGTGTTGGTGTAGGGGGTCTTAATTGAGTTACCTGAATGTAGATTCTGAAGGCACCCCATGTATATATACCACAGAACTTTGGGAAACCCATATGTTCAAGGATATCAGGAAGGGCACCGTGGCATCTTCAACCTCACTGCATGTCTGCCTGGGTACTTGAATTTGATCCCTTTTCAAGCAGTTCTAAGACTTGTGTACAAACTTCTGATTTTTGCCATGAATATGGTGGTGCTATTGAGGACTAGTGTTTATCCTGTGTTTTTGGCTGTATTTCAAACACAGGGTGTAAATTCCTCCTGTCTGTAAATCCCTCTGCAATTTTAACTAAGTTGTTGAATAGAGTAACTTATGTTAACTAGGTGTCACCTTTTATTCCTGCCCATTGCAATGGGGGTGGAGTAGATGCCCTTTAAAGGTCTTTTCCAACTCAAACGATTTTGTGATTCTGTGATTCCATCTGTACCTCTATTTTATTGCTGTCAGCCTTAAAGTGAGGCCTTGTAGACTGACTTAACTTGCCAAAATACTGAAGTATTAATGTTCATAAAAGCATCTACATAAATGGAAAGTGTTTGTATTTTTTACTTGTTTCCACTTTGCAGAAAAAATAGGGTGAATTTATTGTGTACAAACATGGATTTTACAAGTCTCTTGCTAGGTCTGCACCTGAAAGCAGACAAATATGTATTATACTCAGACCCAGAAGTATCTCTTCAATTCGTTAAATATGGTGACTTGTTGGCTTGGCATTACCTTTTGGATATAAAGACTTACTGAACTTCCTCTCTGCATTTAAAAGCTTGAATTCAAATTAAAGCAAATTAAAGCAGTTGTGTTCTCCAGGCTCTTAAATCGTTCACATTCTTTTGCCCAATAAATCTGTGCACTGGTGAGTTGTGTGGTCACATATCACTGCTTACTCACATCACTGATTACACAAGCAAAAATCAGTTAGAACTAACCCCCAATTCATCCTATTTGTGCCTTTTAAAGTTTGTCCTGTTTTCTTTCTGTCCATGTTTTTCATAAAATCGTAGAGTTGTTAAGGTTGAAAAAGACCTCCAGGGTTGTCAAGTCCAACTGTTCACGCAGAACCACCATGTTCACCTCTAAACTCTGTCCCCAAGTGCCACATCTACATGTTTTCTGAAGGCTTCCAGGGATGGTGACTCTACCACTTCCCTTGGCAGCCTGTCCCGATGTCTGGCCACCTTATCAGTGAAAAAATGTTTCCTAACAGCCAATTTAAACATTCCTTGGTGTAATTTGAGGCCATTTCCTTTGTGTTATCTCTTGTTACCTGGGAGAAGAGACTGACCCCCACCTGGCTACAACCTCCTTTCAGGCGGTTCTAGAGAACAATAAAGTCTCTTCTGACCCTCCTTTTCTCCAGGCTAAACACCCCCAGCTCCCTCAGCTGCTTCTCATAGGACATGTGCTCCAGACCCTTCTCTAGCTCTGCTGCCCTTCTTTGGACCTGCTCCAGCACCCCACTGTCCTTCTTCTAGTGAGGGGCCCAAAACTGAACACAGGAGTCAAGGTGCAGACTCATCAGTGCCCAGCACAGGGGGACAACCACTGCCCTGAACCTGCTGGACACACTGTTGGTGACACAGGCCACTTGCCATTGACTTTCTTGGCCACCTGGGCACACGCTGGCTCATGTTCAACCAGCTCTCAACACTTCTGGTTGTCATTTATCTGGGTTAGCTGTTAGCTGAGGGACAGAGCCTGTTTCCTTACTTGTCTGTACAGTGTTTAGCACACTGTGATCTCTCAGACAAGTTCCTTTTACGTAATTCCTTGAGGCATCCAGGTACTCTTGGATATGAGCTTTGTGCCTGAAAGAAAAGCGCAGCAGCTGTGGCCTGCAGATGTGGAGCATGGCTGTTTCTCTGGGAGCAATGCCACGTTTTTCATCTTGCCTGGTAACTGTCAAGCGAAGGCTGAGCACATTGAGATGGATTTCAGGCTTTACCTTTCCAGCTGCATGATTTTTTTCCTGACACTGCCTGCACACAGTCATTGTGAGGGAAATGTTCCTTCTCCTCCTGTCCAGAGGGCTTTTCGCAATTTACTGTTCTGAGAATAAGACTTTTTAACCTTTTCTCATGAGAAGCTTCTGAGTAATATGTTACAGATTGCTCTGATCTGCACTTGGTGAGGTAGTGGCTTTGGTTACTGCATAGACTGGCTCAGGATAGTGGCATGATGAGGCTTAATGTTATGCTGCTGAGCTTCTACTGTCCAAATAGCAACCTGTCTGTTAAAACCATTGTGTGGAGAAAGGAACACCTATTTTATTAATCCCAGCATGGACCAAACCATCCTACATATCTCCATATAATAATTGGACCTGTTGGAAGCCTAAGCTTCTCTTAATTGCAGAGCTTCCCTGCTTGGCAATTCCTTTCTGCTCATGTAAAACAGCTAATGCTGTTATCTTTGTTTTACTGATAAGCAAAGGTTGGTCACATTACTCTGACTGCTCTTTCTCCTTTGTTCCACTGATCTCTTTGTTTCACTGCTGAACTCTGTACACCTGTCAGTTCTCTGCTTTCTCTCACAAAGAGCTACAGCATAATGTAGAGTCCAAGGGCAGGGAGAGCAGGCCAGGGATTTCCTTCTATAAAGCAGCATAACCAAGGCTGATTCCCCCCTCCCACCCCACAAAGGTTTTATATGTTCTAAGGAAGTTGGTTTGCAAACTACTTCTCTAAGTATACAAAGAGGATTTGTTTTCTAGCAGAATTCTGCCAGGCAGATTTGTGTGGCTTATCGTTTTCTTCCAGGCTTGGGTAGCTTAAAATGGATTTTGCCATCTTGGTGCATAAGTAATTTGATCCAATCTGAGGGATCTTCCAGAGTCCTGGATTTTGCTAATGGGTAACAATGATAGCAGCTTAGGGTGTCATGTGCCAATGTGGAAATATCAATTGCAAATTCTGAAACATTGATTGTGTTTCTGGGTGGTACAACATCACAACAAATTGTGTGATATTCCTTTTGTTGTGCTTGCTAATACACATTTGTAATCCAAAACAGTGATGTAGGTTTCTCACAGTCAGTATGGTTCTCACATGTCCTAGTCAATAGGTTTCACTTTTATTGAAGCACTGACAGCTTTTTCTCTGTCTTTCAGTCTCCCAGAGTGAAAGAACCTGTACAGAATTCCGAGGTAAGTTGAATAGACAGTGGCTTCCTGAAATGGTGACTCCTAGTTATTGCTGTTGTTTCTAGGAACATGCTTTATTAGCCTTTGAAAGCAATATTGTGTGAAGTAGAAGCTAGTGTATCTAGCTGAGCTCTGTTTGAAGAGCTCTCCATAAAAGGAATTCTTGGCTGTGTAATGCCAAGAGCTCTTCCTGGAGTTTGGTGTATGTCTTGTCTACTTTATTTGCTGTGGCAAAAGTCTGTATATTTTAAGGTAATGAATTGGTCACAAGAATAATTAAAGCAAAACAGCTGTGTTTCCATTTCCTCTTTTAAAAAAACCCAACACAAACTCAACAGAACACAACTTTGAGATTTCTGGTTTGCATAGTCAAATTCTCTAGTTTGGAACCAGAGGACTCAGAATCTGCTCAGAACTGTGAAAGGAATCTGTAGTGATATTTGATAGCAAACAAGGCTTCAGTTGCAATTTGTAGTCTTCCTTCAGTTCTGAACTGTTTCTTGCGTTAGGAGTGTTGGTGTATCTTATCTCTCAGTGATAGGGACTGCTTATCTTCCAGAGACTGTGCTATGTCTGTCTTTTCCCTACCTGTGTGGAAAGATAAACAGAGCTATCTCCTAGAAATTCATCTTGGGTTGGGCTCTCCTGTTCTTCCTTCGTTTCCCAGAAATGTTTATAGAGGAAGATCTTAAGAAACACTATAGTTCTGGCACTGTAATTTGACATAATTCTAAATTCAAAGAAAAAGCTGAAAACCAGAATCCCTTTGGGATGAATTTTCCCATTGTAATGCATCCTTTAATATATATTGTGATTTGGAGGTCTCCTGCCAAAGTTTTCAACAATCAAGGTGATTTATATTTCCTACAACCCATCAGAGTAAGCTGAAGGGCACACTGAAGTGCCAGCAAGCTGACAGTTCTTTGGCTCCAGTGCCAAAATCGTTTTCTCTGTTCTGAATAACAAGAGGTAAAAAAGATTGAACTTTCATTTACCTCTTTTCCCCACCCTCAAATTAATTTTTTTTAATTTATTTTTTTCCCCCAAGAGGTTGACTTTAATAAAGTCCAATCCTAAACCTTGTCTGGTGTGTTTTGAAGAACGCTGAATTCACTTTTCATTGAATATCCAGATTGCTCTGACTCTGACTTTTCTGAATGGATCAGTTGTCGATAGTTATCTTACTGCTTTGCTAGGTTTTGTTCTCTGAAGGGAAAGACAAGTCAAAGCAGGGTATTTCTGCTGTGACAGCATGGCTGCTTGGAACTGTAAGTAGGACTCGGATTCCGAGAAAGAGGGAAACTGGAGGATAGGGTGCTCTCATCCAACCTGGGATATGATCTGTGTGCATTCAGCCTTGCCACAGAGTGTAATTTTTGTCCAAGATCCATGCTCATGCTGGCATCTTGGTTTCTTATCCTTCTTTACAGATGGGTAAAACTTGCAAATGTCAGGACACATTAAACCCCTTGAACGCCAGCTTGGGATCAGCGTATGCATCCTGGAGGCCTGGGAATGCCCCTGGCATTGAACTTCTCTAAGTGATTTATGTCGCAAACAAGCATTTCTGGGAAAGCTGGTGCTTGAGTCAGAACTCTTGAGTTCCTCTTCTCGTTAAAACTCCTTTTTACTTGCAGCTCTTTCCGTCAGCTGAGCCTCCAGGTCCTTCACTCAATGCTCCAGCACAGGCACCTACTCAACTACCTCAGGCTGCAGGACAAGCACCTGCACAACCTCAAACTGCTGTACCTCCACCTAGTCAGGCTCCTCCAGCAGCCCCAGCAGCAGCTCCAGCAGCAGCTCCAGCAGCAGCCCAGGTAAGAGCAGAAGCCCTTCCTACCAGCTTTCAGGTGCACTTAGCTGTTCTGTTCCAGACATGCTAGAATGATCTGAAGCCATGGAAGTTTCTTGTCTGAAGTTGATTTAGTGCTGCAGTTTCTGCACAAGGACAGCTGGTGCTTGCAAAAGGAAGATGGTCAGTGTAGGTGTGGCAGTTTTTCATTATTCTTCTGTGGGTAAGCAGTGACTTTTTATGCTGTTCAGGGAGTAGACTCTGGCTTGAGGCAAGGTCAAAGGTAAGAAAAAAAGATAGTCTCATTTAAGTGGAAGCTGCTTGTTCCTGGTATTTAAGGTGAAGCACAAACAGACTGACTTCGTGTCTCAACACCACTGGCACCTGTGGGTAAAAGTGGAGAGAAAAGTGAGGGAGAAACTAGGACCTCAGTTCTCCAAATGTCACAGGAAAATGACCAACCCAAATAATTTCTGAGACACTTAGAACATGTGGTTTGCTGGAGTAAAGCACTGCAGAGCTTGCTTGGCTCCTGAGTGATGGCACACATTTTATAAAAGACACTGATGTTCATATTTGTTGGAGTCATTTGTTCATTTCTTGTGGGGAGAGCCTGTCACTGTTGGGGGGGGACCATCAGCCTTTGGCAGACCCAAAGAGAAGAGACTTGACAGTGCTGATCTGAAAAATAAATCTTAGACTTACTTCTTCCTGTGTTTCATTAACTATATTTTAAAGAATGTAGAAAGTGTCATATATCACTGCAGTCAGATCTGTTAGGAAGAAATTCTGTACTGTGAGGGTGGTGAGGCACTGGCACAGGTTGCCCAGAGAGGTTGTGGACTCCATATCCCTGGAATTGTTCAAGACCTGATTGGATGGGGTTTGGGCTTGGAGCAGCCTGGTCTATTGGAAGGTGTCCCTGCCCCTGGCAAAGGGGTTGGAGCTAAATGATATTCAAGGTCCCTTTTAACCCAAACCACTCTGTGATTCTGTGTTCCTGATTATAAACCCATTAAAGACAATCCATTAGTCATTACACAGAAACAGTGGAGTTGTGGTCTGACACATTCTATGTTATTCAATGTAGCCAAGCTTTAATACTTAAATTAAAGCCCTTCAGATATCTTGAAAAAAGTCCAGTGTTTAATCCCTGAATTTTATGCAGCAGTTGAAACACCAACAGCAGTGAAGGCTGGGACTCTCAGTAAAGTGAAGCAGCAGTGGTGGTCTTGGTGACAGTGTTTTGGTTTGCACTAGCAGTGTGGCTTCCTCCCTGCCACTGGTGCCCAATAGCTTGTTTGTTGGTAGCTTGTCCTAAGATAAACTTCATTAACTTGTGTCAGTGAGTTCTTCTTTATAGCTCTTAGTGTCACTATGCTTTTTTTATACCTCTTTATTGTCAATATGTTCTTTACAGCTCTTTATGTCAGTGTGTTATTCTTTATGGCTCCTCTCATTCTTGTTGCTCGCTGGTTACTGTTTTGCAGAGCTCTGGGCTTCTCCATGAACCCTTGTTTGTTTTCACTGACCTGATAAAGCTTCAACAGAAACCATGTTGTGATCAGAAGCCCTGAGCTGCATTGCTGGCCCAAGAGCACCGTGGAGTAAAATACTTGTCTTAAACAAAGGGTTATTTTTTCTTCCTCTCATGAAAAAGCAAGTGATCTAGATGAAAAAAACTTGGTCAAGACTTCTGTGTTTAAATTGTCAGCCTGGTGTTGTGTCTGTCTTGTTACTGCAGTTGTAAAATCCCTGCCTCAGCGTGTGCAGGTGACTTGTGCAGCTGGGAGAGTGACCAACCCTTCTCTGTTTTGTTTCACTTTTTTGGTGGATGTTGATTAACAATTAGTCCTTTACTTGAACTGTCATAAGTGCTGTAAAGATGGGCAACTCCTGGATCTTTCCTACTGCTGCTGGCCAATATAAAATGCTTTGATTACATATTCCAAATGTAATTATTCAGATGTAATTTAGAAGCGAGAATAGGCAACTATAAAATTGCTGCTAGATGCTCTTAAAGGCTTTGATTTCACAAAAAAAAAGTAACTGAGAGTTATGCTAATCTGGCAATTAAATTATTTCCTAGGTACTCTTCACAATTATATCAGGTTTTTAAATCAGATGTTTGGGGCAGGGTTTAAAACACAGGAGGTCTTGAATAACCAAAAGCCTTAAGTTTTAATGCAAAGCAATCTTTTTACAATTAGCACTTCTGTAGTCTCCTGCCCTTTTGTCATTTCTCAAAGTTGTGTAGCTTTTGTTCTTTTCAGGACTACTGCAGAGACCCTCCTTGGATACTATTTGTGTGAAGTTCTCTTGTTTCATCAGTCTGTCTTTTTTTTTCACTGTAGTGATTCCAACAGCGAGTTAAACTTTTATTTTTATCTGTAGTTGATCAAGGTTATCTCTAGTTTTAAAACCAGAGCCAGGAATTGTTAATCTGCTTTAAAATGATGTAATTCTATTGCAGGCCCCACCTGCAGCTGCTGCAGCAGCTCCGGTACAGGAAGACACAAAAGTCCCCATCAGCCTTGTACTAAGGTTAAGGTAAGGACACAAAACTGGCCTGTTCTGTCAAAGTGAGCCTGTGTGCAGAGGGACAGTGGCAGACTTTTGTACCTCTTAATTAATAGAGTGGTGGTTATATGTTGTCTCAGCTTGGATTTCAACCACTCTTCTGAAACCAGGACCCAGGAAACCAGTTTATCACAGCCACTTCAGTTTGGCAAAACCTGTAGTGTGGAAGAGGTTTTGGTATTTGTATAAACATGGCTAAACTCTAATGGGGTGGAAAGGAGGGATTAGCTGGGTTCCTGTGATAAACAAAGTCTTGAGTTTCTATAAGTTTCAAATAATAGTTTATTATATGGTAAAAGCAAGCAGCCAGCTGGGTGACAGAAATGGGACCAGTTTCCCAAATCTGCACACCCCTACTACAGGGTACATTTAGTATTTATCTTAGCTACTTCATGCATATTAATTATATCATATACCTATACATTCTGCAGGTTTTTGCTAAGTATTTAATATATGGGTTTTCTTACATCTAAAGCTAAATGGTTATCGCTCCACCCAGTCATAATTCCCGTATTCTTGGACAAACAGGCACCTAAAAGATTTAAAGTTCTACTATATTTTATTCTTAGGATAGTAAGGAGGTTTTAGGCCTCTTGACCTTGTAAGGGTCTGTTTTATTTCTTTATGGGGGTGTAATTAAGTTTTACAATCAGTTTTATTTTGATGTAATCACCCATTTGTTTCATGAATCACAATTATTTATATATCACAATTCCCTCCCCTTTTTTATTATTAACTTATTGATTCGTGACTTTTTGATTTTTATAATATTAACTTTGTATATTTTGTCTTAGTTATTGTATACAGTAATAGAGTCAAAAGTTTCAAAAATGTCTTTAAGTTTCCATTCATCGGTTTATGTCTTAATTTTATTTTAAATTTTCTGTTGGTGATGTTGTCTACGCAGACCTTGGTGTTTTCTTGACTTTGGTGTAATGTATTTAAGGAAGTTGCCTTTTTTAATTTTGATTGCAGTTCGTGTAATTAGCATCACTTGATATAGATTTTTCACTTTGGCTCCAGGGGTTCACCTGTAAAAGATCTTACATATATAATCTCTAGGTACAACATTATGAATTGGCCTCTCGAGGTTACAAGCTTGTTTCGAGGATTAGCTCTTTAACATTTTTAAGTTGTTTTTATAAATGGGACCAGTTTCCCAAATCTGCACACCCCTACTACAGGGTACATTTAGTATTTATCTTAGCTACTTCATGCATATTAATTATATCATATACATATACATTCTACAGGTTTTTGCTAAGTATTTAATATATGGGTTTTCTTACAGCTAAAGCTAAATGGTTATCACTCCAACCAGTCATAATTCCCGTATTCTTGGACAAACAGGCACCTAAAAGATTTAAAGTTCTACTATATTTTATTCTTAGGATAGTAAGGAGGTTTTAGACCTCTTGACCTTGTAAGGGTCTGTTTTATTTCTTTATGGGTGTGTAATTAAGTTTTACAATCTGTTTGTTTTATTTTGATGTAATCACCCATTTGTTTCATGAATCACAATTATTTATATATCACAGTTCCCTAGGGGGATCAGGGATCCAGGGGTTTTGTCCTTGTGCTGGATCACTGGGCACAACTTCAGATTTCAGTCAGTTCAGCTTTTACCCAGTTGGATTCTGGTCTTTGTCCCTAGAAATAGGCAAAATCTTTCTCAAAATCTACTCATTTCACACGCTGACATTTCTAATTAGAGGAACCTGGTTCTCATCCCTGTTGGTGAGCATTGGCCTGGGGCCTCTGGGCATCACCTCCCAGTCAGCTCCACAATGGATGTGCATCTGCAGACAGTGGGTGCTTCCCTCCTCTGAAGCATGTGCTCCAAGGATATATCTGCTGATGGATATGAGTTGCTGAGACAGTGGAACAACAAGGCTTTATACCTGAGAGGTGGCACTCATCTATCCTGGACTTGATCAGGCTCTGTCAGGTTGGAGGCAGACTGTGCTGCTTCCATATGCAAACCCAAGTGATTAGTTTCTGCCTTTGAGGGGGAAGGATGCAAAGAATTCATTTCACAGGCTGATTATTCAATGACAGCACTTTCTTGTGGGCACTGATCATAAAATGGCCTCTCTCCATAAAATTCTCTTCTTTCCACAGGAATTCAAAAAAAGAGCTCAATGATATTCGATTTGAATTCACCCCAGGGAGAGGTGAGCTGGTGGGAAATTGCAGTGTGTGTGAAGGGGAAGTTTTGTGTTTGGTGTTGTGCAGCTGTGTGTATGGAACCCCTGTGTGAGTGTCCATGGTGCTTTCCTAAAGGGCTCCTTGTGGCTGAGCTTGGAGCTCTGCTGTTGAGAAGACCCTTCCTGTAAAACTGTTCATGGATACGGCCAAAGTGCAGCCCTTCAATGAATTCCAATGAATTCACAGCTTAGCTCAGAGCTGTCTGACTGCACCTGGTGTGCACCCTATTATCTGTCTTCTGTAAAGAACACTTTTGCTGTCAGGTTTGTACAAGCTCCTTTAGGTTTGTGTGTGATGCCTCCATCAGCTGGACAATCTCTGCTCTGTGGTGACGGCTCTTGGGTTTCTCCCCAACAGATACTGCGGACGGTGTGTCCCAGGAGCTCATTTCAGCAGGGCTTGTTGATGGCAGAGATCTGGTAATAGGTAATTACATATTATTTTTTCTACTTCTAACCATTTCAGTCATTTTTTGCATGTTTAAAATGACCTGATCAGTGGCCTTGCTGTGGCCTTGATTCTGTACTCCAGTGTCTCTACACAACTGCTGTGAATTCTGGTGACAGTTCTGTGCCAGTACGTGTAGGCAGCCCCCAGTTCACAAGAATACGATTTAATTGGAAACATTATGAAGCAAATGTTCCTTGTAGTGCAGAATGAAGTCTAATTGATGCATTAGCTAAATCATTATCATCTGACATAGATGCATTGCCAAGTTGCTGCACAAGCCTGTCCTGCTCACGGGTCCTGCACAAGTTGAGACTGGAATCAGCCAGGCTTTGGGGTTTTGATTAGGACTGGGGAAGGAAGCACGAGGTGCATGTGCTCTGAGGCAGCAATACAAGTCATGTGGGGGTGAACATTACCTCAGACAACAGTTTGCTAAACAAACCTGTCCTTCTGTGCAGCAGTTGAGGCTTTTAAACACAACAGCACTGCCTGGGTATTTTAACTACAGCAAGCAAAACTGTTCCTTATGCACAGGCAGCAGGATCTGGAAAGGCTGGTAGTGCAAAATTAACTGGATTTCCAGGTGCAGCTGGGCAGCTTATTACTACTAATCCCACCACATCCAGGGAAAAATAACTACCTCTGAAAAAGTAGCAGAGTAACAATGACAGCATTTTCAGTTTAAAGCTTTAGATTTAAGGAGATAGAGTCTAGTTGAGACCTAAACATTTTTTGATAATTGTAAAAATTCAAAGTTTGCTAAGTAATACAAAGAGGGCTGATGAGTTTGGGATGTTTTTCTCTAGCCTGTCCTAATATTTGCCTGTTCTCTTTATGTGTGTGTGTGTGTGTGTGATTTCAGTTGCAGCTAATTTGCAGAAAATTGTGGAAGAGCCCCAAGCAAACAGATCCGTCACTTTCAAACTGGTATTTATTCCTGTTCCCTAATTGAACAAGTTGTCCCTTTCAAGGAGAAGGCATTACATGTAGATGTCTACTGCAGGCATCTGATGTATGCACTCTAAATCCTCCCTTCTTTCCCAAAGCTTCCTACTGGTTGTCTGACTGTAGGCAGTGCAGGCTCCCTGCTTGTATCCTCTGAGCAGCACCTGGGTTAAATAAGTGTGAGATGATGTGCTAATACAAGCATTGCCTTATCCTTGCTAATAAACGTATCAAAATGTTACAAAGGGGTGTTTTGGGCACTTGGATATACACTTACAGAAATATTTCAGGGCTAAGAATTGCACGGACTCCTTTCTTGGAGGAGGAGAATGAGGAGGGTCCAGATAACATTGTTCCTGAGGAGGAAATGAGGGAATGAAGAAGAAAAAAGGAAAACAAAGAACTGTGGGGCAAAACTGACAGCAGATAGGCTTGGAGAGCTGAGAGAACTGCAGGTGAATCTTTCAGAGGAAATGATATTTGGAGGTAGTTACAGTGGCAAAGAGAAGGTGTAACCAGGTTACTGGGTGCGAAGCACTAAGTGCCATTATCTTTTGCTCTTTCTGTAAGGAGTTTTCACTTGTTTTGCCCCAGTTATTGCAGGTAGCCCAAGTCAGAGCAGACATTGGCAAAACTTCAGTCCCAGCCCTTTGTAGCTTCAAAAAAAAGAAGCAAGAAAATGAAAGTACTCAATTTTAACTTTGGGCAGTGTGAGCTGCTGAATACAGTGCAAAGCTGTCCCTTGTCTCCTCCCTCCCCACACCCTGTTACACCTTCTTGTGGTTTGCATTGGAGGGTAGAGCATGCCTGTTGCTATTTGGATCTCTGTTCCTTGTTTCAGGCGTCTGGTGTCGAAGGCTCGGATATCCCAGATGATGGCAAACTTATAGGATTTGCACAGCTCAGCATCAGCTAAACAATGGTCCCAGGAGATGTTTCCCAACTGAGAACCCACATGTGCATATTCGTAATGCTTCTGTTAGCCTAAAAAAAAAACCACTACTGCCAAAGAATTGAACTACAGCCCCCTTCCTAGAAGCTTTAACATTTTCCTTAATAGGATCACAAACCTTCCTGAAATTACCGATGACGTTTACACCTTTTGTAAACAACTCTCATGTTTTTGTATCTGTCATCTCAAAACATGCAGACCCAACACGTCATTGCCTGCATGTTCATTTTATTATTGCCTTACTTTAAAGAAAAATACTACTGAGTACGAAGCAGGGGGTTCCACTGCTCTCATGATCTTGCCTAAATGTTTGCTTACATGTGGTTTCATTTTTTTTCACTTGCTATTTTTGCACAAGTTTTAATACTGAACGGATTTTTTTTTTTGTTCTTTACCTGCTTCTCCTTCTATCTGAAACACCAATGTACATGTTGTTTGGGTCACCTGGAGTGCTGAGAAATCTGCTTCTCTTTGGCTGTGTGTTTTAAAACTGCTGGTTTGAATGCTTGCACCTGAGAAAGCAAGCTGAGTCTTAACCCACAGGAGGGAGAGCCGCCTTCCCTTGTGTTTGTGCTTTTGAGAAGTTCCTTGACTTTTGAGGTGTTAGAAGTCAGCTTCCCTTTGTAAACTGCCTTAATTTTATTTTTTTTTTTTACCATTTTGGTTCTCTCCACATGAGTGCCAGGTGTGGCATGAGGGCTGAACCTTTTAATTTACGTTAAGCAGTCCTTCCTCAAAACGTCTTTCATCCTGCATCTTAGACGTAGTCTATTCTTGAAGCAGACCAGTGAGGCATTGCTACTGGTCTTTCAGATGATGAACACAATATCCGTGGTCAGAGGGAGAGGAGATCTGTGTCACCCTGTGTTTGGGAAACACGCGCTTCAGACTGTTCCTCAAGCCCGGTTCTGCCATGCCTGGCTGCGCAGAGAGTCCTCCCGACGTGTTTTCCCAGTCCTTCGCAAACTGGTCCCCGTGGAACCATCCCTGTCGTGTTTCACAGCAATAAAGAATCGCCAGCAGAGTGGTTGTGCTGGGCAAGCGGGCGCCGGGCTGTGTCCCTCCTGCACTAACGGCCTGGGCCGGCACCTCCTCGCCGGCCGAGCCCCCACGTTTGATCAGGATGTCACTGAAACCCCGTCACACATGTATTTAGCTTTTCTTTCTATGTGGTGTTGAAGTTGAGTTTCTACATGAATAATATAAATTATGCTCTGAGTTTGATAAGAGACACTTGTAATGCAATATGTGAATAATAAATGGTGTTGACTCTTTTTTTTTTTTCTTTTTCTTTTCCTACTGTTTCACAGTTGGCCTTTGTAACTGCTCTTGGCTCTGGAGTGTTTTCTACACAGAAATCGTTAAGTCTGTAATTTAGCACGCAGATGGAAATGTGTTTTGTTTCCATCAGCCACAAACAATGCAGAAACAGAGCAGAATGACTAGGTTCAATTAGGACTTATTTTAATTTCCAAGTCTTCAGATGAACAATCTGTATTTATATCTTGTTCTCTATGAGCAGCTGTGGAAGCTTCCGGAAATGGTGCATGTTCTTTTTGTACCACCCCTGTTGCTTTTAGCCTTGGGTGGATATTGGGTATGTCCCCGTGGGCTCTTTGCAGCCCCGTGGCTGGTGATTGTGGAGGGGAGGGAGAGGAGGAAGAGGATTTGGGAGCAAGAGCATCCCAGGGTGTTGAGCAGATGCTCTCAAGAGCCCAGGAGACGAGTGCCCGATACCAGGGAGTTGGTGGTGGCTGGATTTGGCCAAGTGCATGTGGCACCTCTGGCACTATTCCCTGTTGTCTGACACAAAGCACTCCCCACAGCATCCCCCGACGAGCTGCTTGGCTTGGGAAGAGCAGGCTGGCACCATGATTTTCATGTCACCCTGTGCTCAGTATGGATTTACTGGAAACCTTTAGGATACAGAGACGAGGTAGTTGTGGTACAGTATTATTTTCCCCTCTGCCTGCATGCCATGGGGACCTCCTTGTTCATTTGTGTACTGGTGCTGAGGAAGGTAGGACTCAAACTGCTCAAATGGAACAATGCAGCATCTATTTATTGTTATTCCCCATCTTCCCAAAGCCAGGACTTAGAGAGCTTGAGCTCACCCTAACCCAAGGCTCCGTAGTTCTTTAATGGAGAAAATAAGTAAGGAAGAAACTGATGGTTTTTGGCTCTATAGATCTCCAGATCTTTTGGGTAGGGATCCAAAGTATTTACTTGGGCTATTACAGTGCTAGACAACTGTCTTTTCTGATGTTGTTCCAGTAAGTGCCAATGCTGTTCATAATTGTTTTCCAGTGTCATTAAGAATTTGGTTTTTGTGCAAATCTGAACCTGGAAGCAGGTGGTAATTTTAAGTTAGTTCCTACTTTTAAGGACAATGCTCTGTTAATGAAAACGGATCCTCTTCACAACTTTGGTGTATTGTAGATTATAATGAAAGATGTAAAATATTCAGGCTTTTTTTCCTTTTTTGGACTTTGTATTTTACTGCATGTCTCTAATTTTTAATCAATAAAGAACAAATTGTCCATTGCCACGTGTTTGGTGTGTGGTTTATATGTCATTGGGTTGGATGGTGTGTCTTGGGGAAGGGGTTTGTCCGAGTGGTGTCTGCAACCCCTGGGGCATTTCTCTTTGGGGTGGTGGGAGGTTTGACAACCCCCAGGAAGACTTGGTGGGGAAAGGGAGATCAAGACCAGGCTGGATGGGGCTCTGGGTAATGTGGTCTAGAGGAAGGTGTCCCAGCCCATGGCAGGGGTTGGAACTGGAAGATCTTTACGGTCCATTTCAACTCCGTTGGATGATTCTGTGCTCTGCAGGAGTTCCATGCAGAAGTGGAGCCAAGAGGGCTCTTAAGATGTTGTCCTGAGGCCTTGTCTGCAGCTGAGAGATTTGCTCCAAGCTCTGCATGCCTTGTGCCAGCTGGGAATGAGCTTCCCCTGTCCAGAAACACCTTAGGGTTACACGGGCTGGTATTAAAGTGGGATGATTTACACCCTGAGAAGTGTTTGGAGCACGAACTGCATTCCCTCCTCACCACCTCCACAATAATTGTTCTGTCTGAATTTGAGGCTCTGGGGCAGATGTGATCCAGAGGTACTTTCCTTTGCTTTCCTTCAGTATTGTTTCTTGTCTACCTTCCACGAATTTTCAGGAATGAAGGGAAATGTTGCCTGAGAAGTAAAAAAAATCCCTAGTATTTCTCACAGGAGGTCCTTTTGGAAATTTTTCCCTAATATATTTCCTAATACATAAAACCTGTTTCCAAGGTGCCCTGTTCATTCAAATTCCGAAAGTTTTGTTGACCTGACTTACCAAGAGCTTAGTGGGTTTTGTTAGAGCAAGGTCATAGTGTCTCCATGAGGAGAGACAGAACAGACTGTGAGAACAGAGAAGTTTCTCTAAAATGGCAGGGGCTGTCAAGGGCAAGGTGTGTGTCTTTTAGGAGGTGATGGGGATGGTCCAGTCCTAGCCATGTTCACCAGGCCTTTTGGCTGGGATGCACCCCTCTGTGTCTCCTTAAAAACGAACATGTTCTTGCTTAAAACCAAAGAAAAGACCCCCACCAAAACAAACAAACAAAAAAGAAGTGTTGGTCTTGCTTGGTGGCACTTCCTAAGCTTCCTCTTCCATTGACTCTCTAAGGCTCTTGGGCTTAGTTTGCCACTTTCTGGCTCTGTTTCTTTTAAGGTGTTCCTCTTTACCCACAGATCCAGAAAACCTTACCTTGGGTAACTTGCAGATTTGAGACATGGGATGGTCCGGGATGCTCTGGGTTAGGGAATCACATCCTCTACACCTAAGCCAAAATTTTCGCAGTATTTTGCCAAACCCTGCTTAGAAAGCCCCAGAGAATTACATCTCCCATTCCAGCCTCTGTAGGGAATCCCCTTATGGACACTGCTAAAGCCTTTCCATGCTGCCTTAGTTCAGTGCCTCCTTAGTCCTCCTGTGGTTATCAAGTCCACTCCAGTTCCCTTCATCCTTGGAGGTTTCCGTTTCTGAGTGCTCATACTGCCCATGCCTGTGGGCTTCCCTGCTCTTGTTACTGCATTCTGATCACCTTCTCCAAGTCTTTCCTCCTAGATGATGAATTTTCAAATGGAATTCCTCATGATGGTGTGCACCTCCTGAAATTTCACTTAATGGAACAGGTCGCTCAGGTTTGTAGCACTGTTTTATTCCTTATTGTTTTGTGGTGTTGTAAGTGGTGTTTTGATGGTTGAGGGGCCTGGAAGCGTTGCTCTTCCTGTGCATTGACTTTGGTGCACAAAAACTTCTCAAATTGCAGCAGATTAATTCCTCCTGACTTTTACAAAAAGCCAGGGACAGGTGTGTCATGGACTTGTGCCCTGGTCAGGTCCTGAGGAGATGATCCCAACCCAGAGATGTGACTCAGCTCCAATCAACTATTGCTGCCTCCTCGCCTCTTGTTGGAAGCCCCCAGCAGCGGCTTCCTGCTCTTTCCCTTGGTCCAGGGCCTCAGTGTTCTCCAGTCTCCTGTAAATGTGATGCCCAGCTCAAGTTCTCTGATGCCAGTCCTCTGGCTTCTCCTTCTCCAGATCCGTGAGACCCGTGACTGATGCCTGACTGACCCTCCTGGGTTTTTCCATTTAAGCCGTGGTAGAGAAGAGTGGAAGAGGCTGCTTTGTGCCCCAGACTCCATCTAGCACAGAGCTAGAGACAGCCAGGGGAGATGGTAGGACCAGGGCTGGGAAAGGCTCCTGAACTCCTGGCCCTGTGTGACTGCTTTTAGCAAAGTTTGGCCTGACCTGTCTCCTGGTGAAGCAGAGCCCAAGCTGAACAGGGACACGATTTCATCCTCCACTTGAGTTTCCTAATTGACTTGAACAGATCCAATTTGTGTTGTCCAGATCAGTGTCTGCCTGATTATCCCTGCCTTTGGTGCTCCCCGCTTGTGGTTGCTGAGCTGGGCTTATCCCGAGGGCAGCGTTTCTCTCCTGGCTCCCCAGGGAGCTGCTCTACTGCCAGGCTGGACCTGTGTGGGTGTCTTGGTCAACCCCAACAGGGCAGCCGTGGTCTGATTTCCATCTTGTTTATACAATAGTCTTCCTGTGGATTTGTGGGCAGGAGAAGAAGCATCCAAATTGCTTTAGGATACCTCTGGAGGCTTTGCCTTACGGACACCTCAAAGGAGCCCCAGGCAAATGCTGTTCCTACATCAGGGAATGACCTGAACAGCACTGCACTCATGTTCTCAATTACGAGTTCAAGGCATTTGAGCTGAGATTTGCCAAACCTGCCTCAGGCAGCGTTGCCCTGTGACATATTTCTCCAATCCCTGTACTCCTTCTTCAAGTCTTCCTGCATATAACCATGACCGTTCTGTGAGGTGGCCTAGAACGGGTGGGAAGGGTGGACTTTCCGTGCCTGACTTACTTGTGGTTGCACAGGGAAGCTGCAAAAGGTGAAGGAAATGGCAACTCCCATCACCTGGGACCACAGTGAACTAACTGCCCTTCTTCGTCTGTGACTCTGCCCATGCATTATCATCAGTCCCTTTATTCCTCTGGGCTTTTGGTCCCTTTGGTCCTCACTTTTCTGAATGGTTCAGCAAATGCAGCCTTTGCAGTCACTGTGGAGAAAAGTCTGTTCCCCTGTCAATGCCACTTGGCAGAGGGGGTGGCCCAAGTTCCCTGAAATGGGGTCTTTCTGCTCCAGCCAGCCCTGGATGTTTGTGGGTGGCACAGGGATGATTAATATATTACATGGTGTACTTGTGGTGACAGCCTATGAGTGCAGGTCTTATCTTAGGTTTAAACATTAATTCCAGCCCTCTGGGAAGTCTGTCCCAGCACTGTCCTGCTCCAGACACGGTTACCAATGTCAGGTGTGGGGGAAATTTTGAAAGCAATTGGTGATTTTGGGCCGTTTCAGAAATGGCTGGTGCTGCTCACCCTGATCCCCTGCCTCAGCGTGGCTTTCCACCAGTTCTGCCAGCTCTTTATGGTTGTGGATGTTCCCCACCACTGTGACACCAGCTGGATCCGCGCCGTCGGCCCCAACCTGACGCAGGAAGAGCAGCTGAACCTCACCCTGCCCCGGGATGCGGACGGGGAGTACGAGCAGTGCTCCATGTACTCCCCGGTGGACTGGGACCTGGACTCCATCGTGGCATACGGCCTGAACACCACGCAGAAGTGCAGCAGTGGCTGGGTGTACCCCTCAGCAGAGCCACCATCCCTGCTGACCGAGGTCTGTAATTGCCTTTCTGAGGAGATGGGGACGTGGAAGGGATGGGACACCCAAACAGCCGCCCTGTCCTGCAGTTTCCCCAAAAGCTGGTGCCTGACCATGCTGCAGCTGGGCTGGGCTGAGGTTTACATCAGGTGTATTTTGGGGAAATTGGCTCCACCACCCAGCCCCAGGTGTGGTCCTGGAGAGGCTGCAGGCAAAGCAGGCTGTGATACAGGTGTCAGTGTCAGAGCCAGTGGAGAGATTAATCACTCCTGGTGGGACCTTCTGGGTTTCCCTACCCCTCTGCATACAGGGGGTAACCTTCTAACTTAAAATCCTAGAAAGGTTTGGCTTAGAAGGGACCTTTAAAAATCATCTAGTCCAACCCCCAGCATAGAAGCTGGTAGCTGAGGAAGAAGCTAAATTAAGATGAAGGAGGGTAGATTTAGATTAGATAGTAGGAAGAAATTCTTTCCTGTGAGTGTGGCAAGGCACAGGTTGCCCAGGGAAGCTGTGAATGTCCCATCCCTAGAAGTGCTCAAGGCCAGATTGGATGGGGCTCTGAGCAACCTGGTCTAGTGGAAGGTGTCCCTGCCCATGGCACAGGGGTGGAATTAGATGATCCTTAAGGTCCCTTCCAACCCCAACCATTCCATGATTCTATGATCCTCTCTGTGTCACTCTTTCCATAGATGCCCTCTGGTCACTGGCAGTTGCAGAACTGCTTGTCCCAGGAATCAGTATCACACTCATCCTTTCTCCTCTGGGAGGGCAGGTGGCCTGGGAGGAATCAAACTGCTGGGATTTCTGTCCCCAGTCCCACCTGAAGCAAAATTTGCCAACTGGGAGGTTCCCCTGGGGGTGCCTGGACTAGGTGGGGGGTATGCTCAGAAGAGTACCCCAGGGACTTGTCCCACCTCTGACTTGTGTGCCTTGTGCATACTGTGGAGATTCATATCCTGGGAGGGAGGGATCCACAAGCACCTCTCTGTTTGTCCTTTCTCCAGTTTGACCTGGTGTGTGACAGGAAGGACCTGAACGACATTGGCCAGGCCATCTACATGGCGGGGCTGCTCCTGGGATCCATGATCTTTGGGCCGCTGAGTGACAGGTGAGGAGACACAACCACCCACCCCAGGTCTGTGCAAAGCCAGAGTGCTGGTCTGAGCCTCTCTGGACGCTGCACACTGTGCATTTTGTCAGTGCTCCTCACTCATAGGGACCTTGACCAAAGTCCTCGGGTCCCATGAGGACATCGCCACACGGGGAGGGGAAGGGAGAGAGACACAGCATGTGTGCACGGGGTCCTTCACTTGTCAGCCCAGAGTGTAGTCT